GTGGACCCCTTTGGTAGTCTGGTGAAGTCCAAGAACCCTTCTCAAAACAATGTTTTTCATTCCATAAAATATATAGGATTAAATGAAAACAGTTATATTGAAATAAAGATATAAATATTTTTCCAACCAATTTCATGGATCCCCTGAAATCTGTCTACAGACTGTTTAAGGGATCCATGGACCCAGTTTAAGAAACTCTAAGGCTAGTCTCCTCAACATTCCTGACAAATTTCATCTAGCCTTTTTCTGAAGACTTCTTTCTGGAAGTAGAGGAAAGCTTACTGCTTTTTGAGGTAGCCCATTCCATTTGAAGAAACTCTTAATTTTTAGGAAGTTTTCCTCACGTGAAACCTAAAGCCACCTCTCTACAACGTATTCTGTTATTGTTGTTCAGTCATTTTCAGTCGTGTCCACTCTTCATGACCCCATTTGGAGTTTCTTGCCCAACATACTGGAGTGGTTTGCCATTTCCATCTCCAGATCCTTTTACAGATGAGAAAATGAGGCAAACAGGGTTAAATGACTTGCCCAGGGTCACACAGCTAGTAAGTGTCTGAAACCAGACTTGAACTTAGGAAGATGAGTTTTCCAGACTCCAGGCCTGGCTCTCTATCTATGTAGGGTGACCTACATGCCCTGCCAGGAGATGGGTAGCATGTTTCTTAATAAGTGTTATAAAATTTCCGAGGATAAAGAACCGGTCCTGGAATTAGGAAGACTCAAGCTCAAATCCTTTTAAGTTTTAGACTGTGCTGGAAGCTGAAACTCGCTTTTACAGAGTCCAAGCCACACAACTGCTGCTTGCTTCTGAACTTGCTTCTTACTAAACACATAGCATAGGTCCTGCAACTGCGCTTTACCCTGGAGTGCCTCACTGTAGTGTGGGAGTGATCCCAGTTTCTTCTAGGCTAGCCTAGCATCTTCTTGGCTAGGATATCCTGGAAAAACCATTGATGGACAGCTTATCTTTTGTCAGAGGAATGGCCTTAACTAACTTTAAGAAAGTTAATTATCAGATCTACTGTAATGAGGCAGATATGTGGCACAATGGATAGGGCATGGTACCTGGAAATCTGAGTTCAGATATAGCTTCAGACACTTGTACTAGCTGTGTGACTTTGGGCAAGTCAGGTCTCTGTTTTCCCCAGTTTTTTCCCATCTGTACAATGGAAATAATAATAGCAACTACCTCACAGGGTAGAGATCAGATGAAAATAATTATAAAGCACTTAGCACAGTTCCTGGCACATCTTAGGCACTATATAAATGTTAGCTATTAATAAAATCGTGCCACTCCAGCTCTTGGTTATCTCTTATTTTTTAGGGGATCTGTAATCTGTGGTGAAAGAGGGAAGTATTCAACTGATGAAATCTCAGATCCTTGAATTATTACAATCTGTTATCTATTTGTTTATCTATTTCCCTTCCTCTTGAAGAGTCAGTGTGTGACTTCTAGTTGCTAATGAAAATAAACTTGCAATTGTTTAAATATTTGTTAATGAAATCAAAGCCATGTTGCATAGGTGTCCCTATGGCACTTCCAGTGGAGGAGTTTTCTATTATACCAAAAACCTTTTGCTCTTTTGATACTCTGTTCTCAAATCTGCCTTTCTAGGCTTTGAGAAAGTTGTTGATGGATGAAAACTACTTTTTATTTTGCTAATCCTATGTAACATTTATATTGAACCCCCATTTAACACACAAAGTTTTAAAGCTTATGCAGACTTTATCTTTGATAAAGTAGAAATAAGTTACTTACTTTGGATTCATTTTTGTCTTTGTATTCTCATTGTTTAAGCCCAGTGCTTTTCATAACATGGCTGTAAAATAAGGAGGTTGGGCTAGATGGCCTTTAAATCCCTTCCTATTCTAAATCTATGATCCTGTGATTCCAGGTTCTAGTATTAATGTATATTAAATTGTATCAAATTGCATTGTAGCTAACAATTGATTTGAGTATCCTGGTCAGGCCTTGTTTGCTTTACCTTTTAAAGGTTCTATTTCCTTGATTATTTGCTTATGAAAGGCCATAGCAAAGCCTTCATCTTTCTGTAGAAAATGTTGAGAGCTCTGTTGTTTCTAATATAATGCTTTTCCTTCAAGTATGCTTTGTAGCTGGGTAATAGCCATTTCATCTTAGTACAAAACTTTATTTTATCTTATTTTCTGTGTATCATATTTCAGTTCTCCCTGTTGTTTCTCATCTTAAGCAAATGATCTCGGGTGTTTAACTTAGTTCCTTTATATATCTCGTTATTGGAGGAGATGAATGTCCTGCTTTGCATGAGGGACAGGGATGGAGTGGGTGCGAAGTAGAAAAACTGTCTTTTTTGAGTCTCTCTTTGGGACTCCTCAGAGTCTGTCCCCTTTTGGACTCCTGGAGTGCAAGTTTTCTTCAAATGGCAAATCCTTTTAGGCTTCTGGTTTCTACCTTTGAAAGGGAAGATGGAAAAGGCTGAAGGAAAAGACTGAGAAGAAATGAGAGGAGTGGACAGTGTCCTTCATGTCCCTATTCCCATTTTATTACTGTAGAAACTTCGAGGAATTAACTCTTGGGTGAAATCTAGGACCCCCTCTGTGGGTTGAACTGAGTTAATCTTGGTCCCAGTGGACGTGCTCCTTCCTTTTGTATTGCCTGAGATATACACACACACATACACACACACACACACACACCAGGAATATGCACACATATATATGTATGTGTATATATACATATCCCTCCATCCACCCATATATGTATACATATATGTGTGTGTATGTATGTGTACATTATACATACATACATACATACATACTTACATACATATATATATATATATATATATATATATATATATATATATACACCTTCTCTGATTTCTGTTTTGCTATGATTTGGATAAATGGGTTTCTTTGCTATTCTCTCTGTATGCTTATTATGGAAGTGGTATTAGATGGGAAAGGAGTTTTGCCTTAGATGTATATATAGAGCTTGGGATCCTCCTTTCCACCAAAAATGACAGTGATCGGAAGTTAGCTTAAACCCAATCATACTCCCTAGAGTGATGACTAACAGTATTTAAGGGAGCAGAGAGGTATAATTCTAGCCCAGTACCTCCTCTTTCTGAGGAGAGTAGAGTGGCCTCTGGCCCCAGCCTCCTGCTTCCTCTCCTGACAGAAATAAAAGTATGCCTTGGAGAAGGGTGGAAGAAGAGGCTAGAGATGTTTATTCTGCCTTCCTTAGGGTCACATATGACAAACAAGGAAAGAAGCCTACTATTGCTACATTTATAAGTGAAGTTTTACTTTTTGGCATATAACATCACCCCTTTGTATGGCATATTTCTGCAGTATGATGACTATGTGTTTGGTTGAGTGGAAGAGAGTCAGCTGAGGCTCTGGAATCATTTCAAATCCAGTCCCTGATGCTCAGGACTTACATGCCATGGCAAAGTCACTTACCTTACCTGGGTCTTCAGATTTCCTCATGTATACAATGAGAAGCTTAGACCAGATAGTCTCTAGACCCTAGTGGCATCTGTTGAAAGTTGTCTCTGTATTGGGAATTTTTCTTTCTTCACAATTTTTTGAATGGCCAAGAGGCTCAAATTATCTCTGTGCTCTTTCCTTTAGTTCTGTTATTTTTGCTTTTAAAGTGTTCTAGATGAGTTGACCATTGATTTTGTTTTACTTCTTGTCCTGCCACTATTTTATCTTCTTGCAAAACATTTTTGTTTACAATTGGTTCCATATTCTCATTTAAATTTTCCACAGATCTATCCACTTTGTTAATTTTATTATTTTGTCTTGTTCCTTTTTAACTAATGGCATATTTTTCTTTACTGACATAAAATCCATCTTTTTTTTTTTTTTTTTACTGTCACCAGATCCTCTTTTGTTTCCTTCGGAGTATTTATGACTCTCTTTAGCATATAAAGGTCCACATTTGTTTCCAATGCTGTTGCAGTTTGTTTGGCGATCATGGCTTTTGTTCATTGTTTTTCCCTTTTGGAATCTATCTTTCGGTTCTTTAATACATAATGTTTATTTATTGAATTGGAGGTTTTTTTTCCTTATTTGCTTAATTCTTTGACTGTTCCTTTTCATTGTGAGAGGCTATTTTAGAGGCTTTTTAATTACCTCTTTATTTTTAATTCATTATCTCCCCATTTTTATTTTTAACTTTTCTGTATCTGTTCTTGTGGAAAGTGTTGGGGAGCAGGATTCGTTGTAATCTCTCACTCATATCTTGCTAGAAGTGACCAGTTGCCTTAACTTTCTTCTGCACTTTTTTTAAAGTTCAATTTTCAAGTTTGAGTATTATTGTCAAGTGCCAAGGAAGTTATGCAATATCAACTGATAATTATTCACAGATATTCATATTGTCAAAGATAGTAAATTCTAGAAGTTATTTCCCTGTGTTACAGAATTTTGACAGACTATCTAGAGTTTCCTATTAGCCATATCAATCTATGGGTTCCACTATGGCTTTGGGTAATCAAGAATCAAATCTATAAAACTTGTGGAAAACACTTGTACTTCAGCCTTATTATGATAATTGAGATGAGATGGATATAATCCATGGAAGATATAGGATCCTCAGGAATCTGGTTATGAATTTATTTATGATTAGCATCATACCTTTCAAAATATATCTTTTAGTGCCTTACACTTAGTGGATATTCAGTTAATAGTAATGTAATGCAGAACATTATTTTACCATTTGGGTAGTAGAACCCTTTAGGCCATGGAAAACACAATGGAGGCTTCCAGAGATATGATCTGAGGGCTGTGGCCTGAGCAGCCAGATAAGGGTCTTGCTAAGGAATTTGGAGTTTTCCATGGCCTAAAGGGTTCTACTACCCAAATGGTAAAATAATGTTCTGCATTACAGTAATTGATTGATTTATGATCATCATTCCAGTGAGCTGGATTAGGAAATACTTTGGTCCTTAGGCTTAAAATAATTTGTTGATTTTCTTCCTATGTTTGAGTAAGTGCTGGCTTGTTTTCTGTAGGTCATTGCTGCTGCAAAAGAAGGATTCAGAGCTGTTGGTTATGAGTTAAATCCTTGGCTAGTTTGGTACTCCAGGTATCGTGCTTGGAGAGAAGGTGTCCATGATGGGGCAACATTTTATGTTTCAGATTTGTGGAAGGTATGTATATGGAAGACAGAGGTCATGGAGAACTTAACCAATATTTTAATTGATATAATAATTTAATAATTCAAACTTATAAAATATTATAGTATAGTTGGTGTGAAGGCAAGGGGAAAAATCTATGAAAAGTAACAAATTAATTTTAAAATTAAGACAAAAATAAAATAGCATTATAGTCATAGTTCATTTTGTCTTCTGAATCTTTTAGCAAATGGAATTTAGCTAATATTTAGATATTAGTTAAGTGTTCTTAAAGTATGAACTGAAATTTTACTTTGTAAGAAATTATGTGAATCCTAAGTATTGACTTACTAAATCATGTATTAATTACTTATTAATCTTTCCTACACAATGGCAGTAGAATCTGATCTCATGTAGGAGTCTTAACGATTATAACTAAGGTTTTGACTTTGTCAGACATTTCTGGTACATATTTGACTTTTTTATTTAAAAAAACCCTGTCTGTTTATATTTTATTTAGAAAAATGGTCATTGAATTACTATTGCACTTCAAAAAGTAGCTTACTTACCTGAGGCAAATGTTACATAAATGAATTTTCTTGAGTAGATATGTGCTACAGAAAACATTTTACTTAAAGTTTTCCAGTCATAACTTCTGAAGATTCATTTCAATGAAATGACACAGTTTTACCTATATTTTAGTTCTACTGCGTAACTATGCACCAATCTTTTAATAGAATTCAGTAAAGATTTTCCTGAACTACTTCTCCATTAAACCATTTTTCTGTTTTTCTATTTGAAGATCATTTCAATGTCATATAAAAATCTAATATTGTAAGAAAGAAGATGGTAGAATTTCAAGATGAGTTCTATAGTGTGAAAAAAAATGGACCCTGAATTTTCTGTTAGCTTATTTGTATAGATCACTTTGGTGAACTAGTAAAATGAAATTGTTACAATTTTCATTCCCCTTTATTTCCTATTTTATTTGGTCAGATAATAAGCATTTATTGAATGCTTACTAAGTTTCTGGCATGGGGTTAAGCATTGGGAATACAAATGGAAGCATAAAGACAGTACTTGCCCTCTAGGGGCTTACATTCCAGTGGGGGCAGATAGTACATAAAATGAAGCCGAAAAGGGGTTTCTGGGAGAGGGTGGAGGGAGGAAAGAAGATACCTGGTACTTGGGCATGGTAGAAAAAGACCTATAGAGTTTCTCACTTTCTGAAAGGAACTAATCAGAAAGTGAGGCCACAGGGGCAGAGAGTGTTTCCAGTGTGAGAAGTAGCCTAGGGGTGGAGTGAACATCCAGGGTGAAGAGGGCATCATAGAGAAAGTCTTGTGGAAATGAGTCAGTAGTTCAGCATGGAATAGGGACATTGGAGGCTAGCTGGCCCAGATCCTGCATTTATAAAAGTTTATTTATGTTACTTTCTTTTAAAAATGACTATTGCTTTCCATATACCTCCGATATACCTCCACTGTAACAAATAAATATAGCCAAGTAAAATAAATTAATACATTGTTTCTGAACAATCAGGATTCTGCCTTCTCCCCTCATTTCATTTTAAAGATGAGGAAATTGAGGCCTAGAGATTAAGTGACTTGTAGTAAGTGTGAAAGTCAGGATTCAATTCCTTTGACTTAATGTCAAAGTCAGGAGTCACATCTTTTGACTTAAAATTCATGACTTCTCCCACCACACCATGCTTCCTGTTCTGTTTCTGGCCCTTCTTAATGTTATTTGGCAATGTTAGAACTGACTAAGATGTACTAAAGAAAATGTTGGGTTTATAGTTGCCCTGCCTGGCTCTAGGCCATCCTTAGATAGGGCTATGCGTTCAGGAAAATATACAGGAGAATAGTGGCCATTTTTATTCTGTTGAGTAAGGGTTGAGGAGAGAGTACAATATTCTCTTTTCTTCTTTAATTTTAAAGAAAACTGGCTTTTTAAATTGGCATAAGCCCATTCTTTCTTCTTAGCTACCAAAAATGTCACTACTAAGGAGACACTATGGCATTGTGGACAGAACACTTCAGTAGGAGCCAGGAGATTTAGTTCTCTGCCCCTTACTAGCTATGTGATTTTTGGCACCTTCTTTGAGTCTTGGTTTCCTTATATTGCATTCCTTGTATATGAATAATGATACTTATAGTATCTATCTTACAGAGTTATTGTGAAGATCAAATGAAATAATACATATGAAAACATTTTATAACCATAAAATAATATATGTATAAACTGTTATTAACTCCTGATTCTATAAACATTTATTTAGTATATTAAAATTTCTCAGGTTAATCTATAAAAAATTCTTTCTCCTCTTTTTCTTAGGTCAGTTTTTCACAGTATACAAATGTAGTAATTTTTGGAGTGCCTCAGATGGTAAGTGTAGTTATTTTGTTTTGTTTTTTTCCTGTGTGACAGCTTTGAAAAGATGGCCTGTCCTAGTTAATTCCTGTACCTACTAAAGTTATTTATCTATGAAATGCTATACCACAGATTTTTAGTTATCCATTGATGTTCAACAATTCACTGGTTTGATAAAATATTAAATTTTGCCTCAAGGCCTCAAAAATTTAGAAGTAAAAGATGATGTTATACTTAAAAACTTACTATAGAATAAAAATTTCAATTATTTAAGCCTCAGAGTTTCCAGTTTGAGTATTGCTTCATGAAATACCAGTGCTTAATATAGTTCACATTTGCCATGGTATGACCACGTTTGTGCTACTTAAATTACTTGGAAAAGTTAATGGATTGTTCACTTGTAATTGATCATTTTTCAGATTTTTCAGTGAGATGGTTTTCGGGGCAGATAAGCATTGACTAGTTTTAATTTGATTCTGTAGACTGATTTGTCAAAAAACGGTATTGAACTTTGAATATGTACTGTCAAAAATGCTGCAATGTTGTGCAGGTGGGCAGTCTCATAACAGTTATGTTAGTATGTTTATTTTTAGTTGTTACTTTTGATCTTTCTGAAGAGGACTGATTGTTTTAGTGAGATAAGCAATTTTAGTTTTATAAACAGTACTTTTAAGACATCCAAAAACATTTATATTTTCATTGTTGATTTTTAAATTTATTTTTTAAAGTCTATATTAACTAAGAATTGCTACATGCTGTCTGGAATGGTGGAATGATAATATGTAATGGTAGATTTATTACAAGCATCAACCGTTTTCCAGGAGAGGGCAGTAGAGGTCTTTGATATAGTCTTTCCTCACTTCAAGTTGAGAGTGCATGGTTATTGGATTTTTGATGAGACCTATAAAGTGGTGAGTTTTGGGGAGCTAGTCACTCAGAGGAAATTAGAGCACCACTAATTTGCTTGGTCTTCTAATAGTCAACATTGGTTTCATTCATCTGTATATACATCTGTAGCTGAAAATTTTGTCATTTTAGCATTTATAAAAAAAATACAAAGGCATAAATAATTGAAGGGCCAAATGACATTTAATAATAGCTATTCAGGTAACTTTTGATAATCTATGTTAGTGAATTAAAGCAATACAAATATTCCCTAAACATTAAATAATATAAAACATTGTTTCTCTTTGGTTTTGGGAATATTTTAAATGATTTCTGAAAAGTTCCAGATTCATATTCATATCCAACTTTGCTTGGTTGGAGGCAGTGTGGCATAGTGCAAAAAAGTTGAAGATCCGGGTTTTAGGCTGCCACTATTTAGCTGTCTAACTTTGGGCAAGTCACTTAACTTTTTCTGGACCTTATTTTCTTTAATCAATCAAGAACTTATTAAGCATCTACTGTGTATCAGTCAGGACAGATAGGTGGCATGGTGGATAGAGTGCCAGCCCTGCAGTCAGGAAGACATCTCCCTATGTTCAAATCTAGCCTCAGACACTCACTGTCTGTGTGACCCTGGGCAAGTCACTCAATCCTCTTTGCCTCAGTTTCCTCATCTGTAAAATGAACTGGAGAGGGAAATAGCAAACCACTTCAGTATGTTTGCCAAGAAAACCCCAAAAAGGGTCACAAAGAGTCAGACATGACCGAAAAACAACTAAACAGATGTGCCAGTCACTGTGGTGTGGTAGACATACAAAGGTGAAAGTCTCTGTCAATCAACAAACATTTATTTTATATGTGTGTGTGTGTGCCAATCACTGTGTTTAGTGCTAGTATTGAAAAAGAAAAAAATAGTCCCTATCCTCAAAGACTTTACATTCTAGTGGAGGAGACAACTTGTACATAGATGATACATACAAAATAAATAGAGAGTAGATGGAAGGTGACTTGGAGGAAAAGGCAGTAGCAGCTGAGAGACCTTCTACAGAAGGTGGTGGCTTAGGCTGATTCTTAAAAAAAAAAAAGCCAGTGATTCTCCAAGGTTAGGATGGAGAGCCTTCTAGGCATGGGGACAACCCCTGCAAAGGCACCAAGGAGACAGGAAATGGACATCCTATATGAGAAACAGTAGTTAGGCCAGTATGTCTGGATGATATAGTGAGTGGAGGGTAATTGTAATATGGAAAGATAGGAAGGAGACCAGCTTGGAAGAACTTTAAATGCCAAGTAAAAGGCTTTATATTTCATTCTAAAGGTAATGGGGAGTCAGTGCAGCTTTTTGCATAAGAGAATGGCTTGGTCAGACCAATGCTTTAGGAAAATATTTTAGGAGTTGTGTAGAGAATAAATTGGAATGGGAGGTACTTGAAGCAGAGAGTCCAATTAGAACATTATTGAAGATAGTGCAGGGGAGAGGTGATGAGGGCCTGAACTAGAATGTTGGCTCTGTGAGTGGAGAGAAGTAGGTATATTTGAGAAATTTGGCAGGTGATTGGATAGGAGGAGTAAGAGACAGAAGTTGAGGATAATATGTATGGTTGTTAACCTGAGTGAAAAGAAAGTGACAAGTGGTGCCCTTGATTGTAATAGAATATTTTGCAAGAAAGGTTTGGAAGGGAAGATATGTTAAGTTTGAGATGCCTTCAGGACATCCAGTGTAAAGTGTCCAGTAGACTTAAGTACTAACTAGGGAGACAATACATACATATTTAGTTATATTTAAAACACAAATATTGGTATATAAAAAACTCACGAAAAGCAGACTTAAGGTAACCTTGGAGGGAAAAGCACCAGTAGTAAAAGATTTAAAAAAATTTTAATTTTCCATAATTTTAATATTAAAAATTTTGTACATTTTCTGACTGATTGCCAGGGAGGCTCACCCACCTGTGTGCTAGGTAAAGGAAAATCAGATATTAACATTTTCTCATGGGTCATTTACACATGGATGATTAGCACTTATTGATACTTCATCGTTTTTCATGGACAGCTGTAAAGGACCTTAGAGAACATCAAAATGAGGAAATAGTACCAGCAGGGTTAAATGACCTTCCCAGAGTTAAATAACTAGTTAGTATAGAACTAGGGCTGTAGTCCAGAGCTTCCAAATCTCTTTTATAATTTGTTTGGAGGTCATATTTTCTAAACCTCAGCTCAAGAAACATGGTCTGTCTATGGATATTCCTTTATACAAAGCTTAATGAAAAATATACTTTTCTTGAAAGAGACTTTTCTAGAAATTCTGTGATATATATTCTCTCAGACTATACTGTTCCACTTTCAGTAACTTATTTCTAGGCAGTGCTCTGTATGAGATAGCCTAACATTTAAATATAAATGTGTTTAACATAGTAGACTATTAGGAATCAGTGTGTGAGTGTGTTACAACATGCTATAATTATTGCATTAACAGGAAAATAAATGATCTCATTAAAGATTAGCTTATGGGAAACAAACTAGCAGCCAGAGTCACAGTGTCTTACAGTAAGTAGATGACTTTTTCTTCTTTTTTAGGTTATTAAGTTTCATTATTTAAAAGAATGGCCAATTAAAACATTGACCAAATTTTAGCCAAGCAGTATAATAAATTTTTCTGTTTAATATCTAAACTCTGTAAAAATAAGCACTGAAATACATGAAATGTATGCATAACATGAAATGATTGAAGAAAATATACTGCTATCAGCATGTTTTGATATAAAAACATATATCTAAACATTCAATATTTATTCTTATTAACAACTTCCTGGTGAGGCCAGTTAATCTTGAGATTTCTTTGAGCGATTCAATTTATGTTATTTGAAATTTTAAAGGTGTAATTGAACCATGTGACTTTGTGTCACTTTCAAATCTGTAATTGTGTGAATAATTTTTGAATTCCATTAAGCAGATATGACACATCACTGCTTTCTCTTTGTGTATGATATCAAGAATTAGATTCGTTGCATATTTATGTGCAATTTAGTCAGTTAATTTCTTATGATTGAAATAGCTCCTTTCATTTTCAGGTTTATCTTGACTCAGCACGAGTCGCAAAGTCATTTTGAAATAAAAGAAAGTGTAAAAATTAAAAGAATAGTAAGATGAATAACTTTTTATGAACAAAATTACCATATGAAATCCTTGAAGTTTTGGTAAAGGATCGTCCATGTACTGCATCCTTCTTTGAATTTCACTTATTTTAGACCTGTACAACTTGGCAGTAGGTAGAGGCCAAGATTAAAATAAGCTAAACTTCTTCATGCCACAGATAAGTTAGACTGGAAACAGACTGAGGACGTTTGGTTGCAGCGGTTCACATGACAAACAGGAGCTTGTACAGTGGCAACCCTACAGTTTCTGTTGGCTTTCTTTGGCAGACCCATGGGCCATATGTTATACAGGCCTGACTTATTTCAAAGGTGGACAGGCAATCTCTTTTGCAGGTAGATTTATTAGTTAAAAAAAAAATCTTGGAACATACTCCCCAGCTACTATAGTTTTTGTTTTTACAAGTTCCTATCATTTAACTTAACATCTTTGTTTATTGCATTCTTGAGCCTAATGAATAATTAGCATTTGGGCCCATTACATATATGGCTAATGCAGTCTTTACCAAACTAATTTGGAATAGATTGTAGTAGGTAACCTTGGGTTCTGTAGAAAGTCTTTAGAGATGAATTGTAGATTTTGCTTATATTTATGTACTCTTATAGGGATATACTTTTAAGATGCAATGGTAGTTATAAGAAGTCAAATTATAGAAACAAATATTTTAGGGACAAAAATAAATATTTGTTCTGCATGTTATTAATATATGGAATCTGCATGTTATTAATATATGGAAATAATTAATTCAACTCTTATAATAAACATTTTTTAAAAACACAAAACTTGTGATTCATAGAAGAATGAGAAAAACATCACCTTTTACATTCTTTGAATATTTTAAAAAATTTATAAATTTCATCAGTATGGATACTTCTTCCATTGATGAAGACCGTAGATCATTTACATCTAGATAAATAGCTCTTTTTTATTAATTTATTTTGATTTATCAATAATCATTTCCATAAGTTTTTCAGTTTTAAATTTTTCTCCCCTTCCACTCCCTTCCTCCCCAAGAATGCATCCAATCTGATATAGGCTCTACATATACATTACTATGAAACATATTTTCACATTAGTCATATTGTAAGGAAGAATTAGAATCAAGAGAAGGAGCCACAAGAAAGAAGAAACGAAACAAAACAGAAGAAAAAAATAGCAAATAGTGCTTTGATAGGCATTCAAACTCCATAGTTCTTTCTTTGGCTGTGGATAGCATTTTCCATCATGAGACTTTTGGAGATGTCTTAGATTCTTGCATTGCTGAGAAGGGCTAAGTCTGTCAAAGTTAGTCATCTCACAATGTGGCTGTTACTGTGTACAATGTTCTGCTGGTTCTGCTCACGTCACTCAGCATCAGTCCATACAAGTCTTTCCAGGTTTTTCTGAAGTCCACCTGCTCATCATTTCTTATAGCACAATAGTATTCCATTACATTCCTATGCCACAGTTTGTTCAGCCATTCCCCAGTTGATGGGCATCTCATCAATTTCCGATTCTTTGCTACCACAAAAAGGGCTGCTATTATATTTTTGTACATATGGGTTCTTTTCCCATTTTTATGATCTCTTTGGGATACAGTCCTAAAAGTGCTATTCCTGGATCAAAGGGTACGCACATTTTTATAGTCCTGTGGGCATAGTTCCAAATTGCTTTCCACAATGGTTGAATCATTTCACAATTCCACCAACAATGCATTAGTGTTCCAGTTTTCCCCACATCTTCCCCAACATGTATCATTTACCTGTTTTGTCATGTTGGCCAATCTGATAGGTGTGATGTGGGACCTCAGAGTTGTTTTGATTTGCGTTTTTCTAATTAGGCGTGATTTAGAGCATTTTTTCATATGGCTATAGATGGCTTTAATTTCTTCATCTGAGAACTGCCTGTTCATATCCTTTGACCATTTATCAATTGGGGAATGACTTGTATTCTTATAAATTTGACTTAGTTCTCTATATATTTTAGAAGTGAGGCACTTATCAGAGAGACTGATTGTGAAGATTCTTTCCCAGTTTTCTGCTTCCCTCCTAATCTTGGTTTGTTTTGGCTTTGTTTGTGCAAAAACTTTTCAATTCAATCTAATCAAAATTATCCATTTTGTATTTCATAATGTTCTCTGTCTCCTGTTTGGTCATAAATTCTTCTGTTCTCCATAAATCTGATAGGTAAACTATTTCTTGCTCTCCCAGTTTGCTTATAGTATCAGCCTTTATATCTAAATAGATAAATAGTTTTCATGAGTTTTTATGGTCAACAAAATTCATTATCTAGTGACTATAGTTCTGGTAATGATCCCTTGTTTACATTAATAATGACAAATTACACAAGATAATCCTTTTAATAGATCAGTTGATACCTGACTAGAATTCTAAAGGCATTCTTTCTTGATAATTTTACCCTGTCATTTCCTGGGCATATTATATGTTTGTTTGTTTTTTTTTTTTAAATGAGCATACCTATGAATACTGAGGCTTATGCCACTATTAAAGACAGGATAACTGAATTGACATATTATTAATCTATATGGAATTTTAAGGACTCATTAATTTTCATTGATATGTTTTATTTTTATGTCACTTTCATTTCTGAATATACCTTTCCTTCCCCTTTTTAGAGAGCCATCTCTGTAACAAAGAATAACAAGTAAACAGGGGAAAAAGCAATTCAACTTAGCATCAAAATTCCATGGGATATGGAACATTTTATGCCCACAGGCTTGCACCTCTAGGAAAAAGGGAGGGAGATGCATTTTTCTCATCTCTTCTAATCGAAGTTTGGTCATTGTAATTATACATCTTTCAATTTGTGTTTTTTCATTCTTTCCATTTACATGATTGTAGTTGTCATGTATATTGTTTCCTGGCATTTCACTCTGCTTCAGTAAGTCTTACCTTCTGAATTTTTCATATTCATTATTTCTTATAGTGTGGTAATATTCTGTTACATTAATGTACTACAGTTTAATTTCCCAATAAATAAGCATCTTGAATAAAACATTTGTGTAATTAATAGCATTTGTAAATATTAAAATAGATAAATAATTTAAAGCTATTTGCATTATATATGTAGTCATAAAATTAGAGCCCAGTGTAATTAATATATGTCTTACTAAATACTAGCATATTTTTATAACTGATATTTTAAGACAGGTTAGTAACTGCAGGTACTTTGTTTTATGTATTTTAATGAATTATTTTACACTTTGTTTATGTGACCTGAATTGATCTCTTTCATAAAATAGTATGATTTTCTGACTAAAGGAGAAAAGTTGCAGTAGTTTTCTAGAATTATAAAATGTAGAAGGAATTTCTAAACAGATATATAATCTAGCTTGCTCACTATATCAGTGATTGTCTTATTCTCTACAGATGCCACAGTTGGAGAAGAAACTTCAGCTAGAACTGGAAGATGATGCCAGAGTCATTGCTTGTCGATTTCCTTTTCCACACTGGATCCCAGATCATATTACTGGAGAGGGGATAGATACTGTGTGGGCATATGATTCTAAGGCTTTTAAAGGAAGTGAAAAGAACTGCCCCAAACCTATGCCAAAGGTGCATTTGTATTAAGTCATCCAAGTGAAAACTTTGTTGAAAGCATAATTCTTGATTATTTCTAGTACAAAGCACATTTACATCTAGTGCTTTTGTAGTTTACTTACAAAATGTACCTTAATAAATTTCACATTTTTTTAAATTAGGAAAATGCCCTGTGGAATGGATCATAAAATTAATCCATTTTTCTTTTGAGGGGGCAAAGAGGAACACAAGTGGATTATGAATGCATAATGAACAGTGCCTACAGTGGGTTTACTATAATGTCATATACTTGAACTCTCAATAAATATGAATTGGTGGTGATGTTTTTCATAGATAGAACAAGGCAATAGTTAAGAATAAATGATCCTTTTTAATGATTTTTTTGTTAATATAAATATAATTTCCTATAACTCAATTAACATTTCAATTTCATCTTTCCCTCTTTTGTCAAAATTAGTAACCCAAAGGATTTCATAAAGCATTTAAGAACACATTTGGTATAATTCTTTCCTATGCAAATAAAGATATGAATCATATACCCACCACCCAAATGCTAAGAAAAGCTCATTTGCAGAGGTTACAGACCTCTAATTTAGTGCTTTCCAGTATGTGAGCCCTGGACACTTGGGAGAGGGAAACACAGTTATTGTGAAACTATCAATAAGCAAATTTAACTTGTATGCTGGATAAATAATATCACACAAATACATATATTGTTAGTTTTCAGATGTGTTTGGATGCTGTTAAGATGAATAAAAAACATTCACTTAAAAGCATTGCTGAATTCATAATAATTTTCCCCAACATGATTTTAGGCTGCCCTTAGGTTTTATAAAAGCCAGTTTTGAGGAGAAGTATAGTTTGTATTTTTTTGGTGTTTGTAGTACTAAGATAAAATAGGAAGTTGTTGGGAAAGGAAGACTAGAAATTTCTTGCGATCAGCCTATTCTATAATTTTTAAGCCCCTAGTTTGTGCTATCCATGTAATCTGTGCTTTTCTTCTAGTGATATTGATGTCAGGATTAGCTGGGTGTAGTATACTATTGCAAGCGTAACCATCAAGTAGATTAATAGTTCTATAACTTGGCAAACAGCCTCTAAAATTTATATTCTTAGGCTACATTTTTTAAGAGAAAGGGATAATCAGAAATATACTAGAATTCAAAGAAACCTTAGGGGTTATGTAATTGAAATCCTTAATTTAATAGATTAGAAAACTCAGGAAGGTGATAATTCTTAATATCATAGTTTTAGAGTTGGAAAGTTCCTTTCATTAAGGTGATGTGTGTAAGGTCAAAGGTACTAAGTGACTAAGTCTAGATTTGAACTTTACTAAGATCACATAGTAACTTAGTGGCTGAGTCTGAATATGGCAGTATATAGTTCTTAGTAAGGTTTATGTGACACTTTAGTAAGCATGGTGGTGGTAGTGGTGGGGAAGTGATACTAAAATGCTAAGAAATTTAAAGTTTACAATCTAATTATGGATATTTAATTAGACACACCTCAGTCAAGCTTTGAGGGAGAGGCAGCCTAACAAATGAAAATGAACATAAGTAAATATTGTATATTAATGGAGTAAATAAGTGCCGAAGATATGCCAAGTAGAGAAGAGGTACAGTATGGTCAAAGGAATGACAATGAGAGGCAATGGGTAGAAAACTGGTTTAGAATCAGGAAACCCTGCCTGGGTTTGAATCCTGCATTTTAACAGGAACTGAGTGACCATAGATAAGTTACTTAACCTCAGTTTCTTATTGTGTAAAACACAAAAACCTATAGTATCTACCTCAGAAGGTTGTCATGGGGCTTACATGAGATAATGTATGTGTAACATCCCTCACTTTTTTGCTTCCTCTCCTTGCTGATGTACAGAGTGGCAGAGCTTTGGGCTAGGGGTATGAGAGGTAGCATGTCATAGGAGGTAGCATGATTCAAGGATTATAGAAAGGACTGCTAATACTCAAAGTTAAGAGAGGAATGCTGGGTTTACGGTGCTGTTCTTTTCTGGGGCTGGCTCTTGTGTCTTATGCTCATTTATCTGATTATGGACTTAGGCATGGCTAGAACTGGTCACAGGTTCCTTTCTAGCAACAACACAGCTGCAGTTAGGAAAAGCATTAATCTTCATTAGCTCCAGTTCATACTGGATCCCAAGTTCTATGCCCTGAACTCAGCCAAAATCCCCTGTCCAGAGTTTCTGCACCTTCAACTACCAAAAGTATGAATCAAGCATTGAATAGGAACTGGCTTGTGTTATATTCACTCCTTTGGCTTTTCATGGGGAAAACAAGCTGTGGGTAACTAAACAAACTCAAGCTGTGCATTTCTGAGCACTCCGTGGTTTGAAATGGTCCTGTATACCATTTGAGAACATAGTAGGGGCTATGGTAGATCTTTTGTTAGGTATCATTTATTGCTTTTATTATTCCTATGCTAAGAGTATATGTTGCATGTAGTATTTAAGCAAGTTTGATTTGTGGAGAGGCAATTCCTTTATGCCAAGGTTATTATACTAGGGCTCAGGAAATACAGTAAAAGGAGGAGGTAGGGATTGCTAGTAGGTAAGAGCTTTAGAACTGATTTCTGAGTGAATAAAATCCTTAGATCCATATAGTCAGAGATAACAAGCGGGTACTGCCTCGCGGAAAGAAGCAGAGCTAAGTGGTGCCACTGTGATGCAGTGATATTGTAGTAACTTGAGCATAGTACCCCAAGTACAGTCACACTGTCTTCTGTAGACTGTAGTGCAAGGTGCAAATATGGTGGTCATAGAGAGGAAGTGTGCCCATTTCTCCCAGTCTGTGTTCTGTGTCAAAGCTTCTTCACCGTGTAGGAGTTGTAGCTTTGACTTTTTGCTTTGTTGTATCCTGTTCATATTTAGTTAAAATAATTCTATATGGGTCAGTGCCACTTAGTCTTTGCCCTGTCTTTGGCATCACATGAAGGTCAAACACAAGGGTCAAAATTAGAGTCATTGGATAGAAATTTCAGAGAGGCAGATTGTGGTCTGAAGTAAAGAAAGAGTTCTAACAATTAGAATTGTTCAACAATTGAATCAACTGCCTTGGGAGATGATAGTGCATTGGAAGTCATCAAGCACAGGCTATGTGACCATTTGGTGATTTTTTTTTTTGGTGAGACAATCGAGGTTAAGTGACTTGCCCAGGGTCACACAGGTAATTATTTTCTAGAGGGTATTGCTGCTCAGGTATCATTTGGACTAGATAACCTAGGAGGTCAGTTCTAATTTTAAGACTCTGCAATGGTATGATTCAGTGTGAGAGTCCCAAACCTTTATGCCAATAGGTATGGAATTGAACAGGCTAAATTAAAGGCTTTAATTTAGCATGCTGCAACCTGTGACTTGGACTCATCTCTGTCAACACTGGACACCCAATCCAAATGAGCCATCTGGTCCCCAGCTGCTTTGCTTCAAGCAGTAATACACAGGGGCATTCTGTTTTAAACCTTGTCTAAGACACATGAATGCTTTGTGTTCCAACTTCCTGTCTTCCTTCCAACCCTGTGTTGAATCCAGCTTAGAGGGGAACAATCAAAAAGGTCAAAATAATAATGGAGCATGAGGCAATTCAGTGAAGGGCAATCAATCAAAAATAATCAAGAGAATAAGGAGGCTAATATCTGAGAACAAACTAAATATATTTGGACTGTCATCAGGAAAGGTGAAGGTTGAGGGAGATGTAATTTAAATCTAAGAAATCATGTAGGGTAGGAAGATGAATGTGTATTTATTTGTTCACTAAGTTTCAAACTGCTAGAATTAAAGGGATAATCTTTTTATAAAAGCATACTTTTTAGCCTTAATAACTTTTTGCAACCAATTAAACTTGCTTTGTGACTGTTTATGTATAAATTAACTTCAAGACATAAGATATTATGTAATTCATACATTCACTACTCCCAAGTGTCCATTAGGAGCCTCCTTAGGAGAGTCTTTGTCTCTTCATCATTTACTTTTCCTATTATATATGCCGTCATTCTGGTTCTTCACAGACTGCTTTGCATCCTTTATGTTTGTTAGTCTTAATTACATTGTCATACTCTGTCACATGAATGTACCACAATTTATTTAACATTCCCCCATTGTTGGATACTTAGGGTTGTATATTTTTGTAGTTAGAATAATACTGTTATAAAGGGCAATTTTGAGAGGCAGTATAGGATAACAAAGTACTATACATGGCGTCAAGAAGACCTGGGTTCAAGTTCTGCCACAGATACTAGCTGATTGATATAAGAAAGTAATTTTATATACTTGAGTTTCAGGGATTATATAAGAATTATGTACTAAATTATGGATGGGTTATGATTGCTTATTGGAGGGAATTCCTACACTGAGGAATCAGACATTTTTCAGTTTATGAAAATCTCTCTCTCTGAAAATCTCTTTTTTTTTGTCTTTTGTTAATACTTTCAGAGTATATACTTCCAAGAATGAAATTATTAGTTTAACTGGCAGTTTATATAACTTCTACTCCATAGTGCCAGATTGCTCTGCAAATAAAATTCCATGAGTTTGCAATTCTGCCAATAATGAATAAGTGTACCAGTTTCCCTACAATTCATCAGCATTGAATTTTGATGCTTTTAATTATAACGTGGTAACTTCTAGCCCTACATTCTAGTTGTAATTCTTTATTAGTGAGATTGGGTAGTTTTTCAAGTAATTATTAACGATTTGTGTCTGAGGAAAACTTGAAGTTTGAAAGAAATACATCAAGGAATCATTCATTCATTTCTTCTGAAAGGTCCATGATTGAATTGGTGTGGTTCTTCCTCTATTGTTGCTATTTGAACTCCTTTTGTATCTTAGTAAGTGGTTTCCAGAGTTTCTGTGGCCAAAAATAATTCATCATCCAGTGGACAAGCTCTTTCTAAATTTATCTAGATTGGTTACTAATTGACAGTTTGGTGGAATTTCCAACTTGGTAGGCTCCGTCCCAGGGTCAATGCCACACTACAATGAGGAGTAGCAGCAGGACTTTATTGAAAGTCATTCTTTCATTTAACAGATATTTACTGTGTGCCTCTCATGTGCAAAGCACTGTGCTAGTTGCTGTGGAGAACAAAAAAAGAAGATTAAGGCATGGAAGATACTTTTTTACCTAACAGTTTATGAATTCTGAGTCTCCAAAAAATTAAAGAAAATGGGATTGATTGATTTATCCCTTCCTGTCTTCTCCAGTAGACTTTCATTCCTTCTCTCTTTTTAATCTTCAGCCTCTTTCTAGTTGCTAGGTCCTTCTCTACTGCCTTCAAACATGACCAAGTGGGATCAAATGAGAATATTTGTAAAGTTCTTAGCGTAGTGCCTGACCCAGAGTAGGTACTTAACGTTTATTCCTTCCCTTCCTCCCTCCCAAGTCTCTTCTGTCCTTAGAAAACCTCTACTAGATTGTGCCATCTTAAGAAATTGTTATTGTCCTACATTCCTTTTCCCTTTCTTAGCCAAACTCCTGGAAAAGACTGGATATACTCATTTCCTCCACTTCTCTCATTCTCTCCACAATCCTTTGCCACATCACTGACCTTATGACTCAAGTGAAACTGCTCTCTCTAAAGTTACCAGTGATTTTGTAATCCATAAATCTTATGGTCTTAGTTCTCATCTCTCTTGATGTCTGTGCTGCATTTGAAACTGTTGACCACCCCTTTCTCCTGGGTTCTTTCTCCTTTCTGGGTTTTTGTGACACTACTTTTTCTTGGCCTTTTCCCCACCTGTCTGCTCCTTTTCAATTTTGTTTTTGTTTTTGCTGTTACTGGCTCATTAACTATGTCATACTTCTAAAATATGCATGTCCTTTAAGGTTCTTTCCTTAACCCACTTCTCTCCTCTCTTTTTACAGTCTGTTGGTGACCCCATCAATTCCCATGAGTTTAATTTTCTTTATAGAGGTTAAGTCAAGTCAACAAGCATTTAATAAGCATTCATTATGTGCCAGGAACTGTACTAAGCACTAGGGATACAAAGAAAGGCAAAAAACTGTCCCTACTTTCAAGGAGCTCAATCTAATGAGGGAATCGATATGCAAACACAAAACTATGTAAAAACAAGCTATATACAAGATAATTTAGAGGTAATCTTAGAATGAAAGCACGAGCAATAACAGGGATCAGGAAAAGGCTTTTTGTAGAAAGTGGAATTTTCACTGGGACTTGAAGAAAGCCAGGGAGGCCAGGAGTTGGGGATTGGGAGGGAGAGAATTCCAGGCATGGGGGAGAGCCAGAGGAAATGCATCTAGTCAAGAGTATTGTCTTGTGTGAGGACCAGCACCAAGGCCATTATCCTTGCAAAATATGTGGAAGAGAGTAAGGTGTAAGAAGATGAGAGGTAGGAAAAGGCCCGGTTATGAAGGACTTTAAAAGCCAAACAGGTTTATATATTTGAGGTAATGGGGAGCCAGTGGACCTTATGGAATAAGGTCAGACCTGTGCTTTAGGAAGATCAATTTGACAGTTGACTGGAGGATGGACTGAAATGGGGGAGAGACTTGATGCTGGTAGACAACTGACTCACAAATTTATGTATATATATATATATATATATATATATATATATATACACACACACACATATATATGTATGTATATATATATGTATACACACACATATTTATCATATATGTATATGTGTGTGTGTGTGTGTGTATTCTGCTTCAAGACTTCTGAGTTTCTGCCCTGTATGACCAACTGTCCATTGGACATTTCAAACTGGATGCCACAGAAATATCTCAAACTTATTATCTTTTACCTTTCAACACACTCCCTTATTTCTGTTGAAGGAACTGCTATTCTTCTCAGATTATTTGCTCACTCTCACCCCACATATCTATCACTCTAATCTTGCCATTTTTACCTTCACAACATCTCTTGGACCTGATGTCTCCTCTCTACTCACATACAAACAACTTAGGTTCAGTCATTCTTAAATTATTGCAACAATCTCCCAATAGATTGCCTTGCTTGATATCTTTCTCCACTCCAATTTCTCCTCCACACAGCTGCGAAGCAGTGATTTTCCTGAAACACAGATCATACCATACTCAATAAATTCTAGTGACTCCCTATTGTCTCAAGGACAAAACTTTTAAAAATCCTCCCTAACTTTTTGGTTTTTTAATGTAACTTTTATTTTTTTGTCAATTTATCAATATTAATTTTTTCTTCATCCCATTCCCCAATTGAAAAAGAAAGAAAATCAAAATTCTTGTAACATGTATGATCAAGAAAAACAAATTTTCACTTTGAAAAAAATGTATGTCTCATTCTGTAACCTGTGTCCATCACCCCTCTGTCAGGAGGTTGGTAGCTTGCTTTATCGTTGGACCCCTGAAATGGTTAGTTGTTAGATTGATCACAGAACTTAAAACTTTATGAACTTCAGCTGAAGTGTAATAGATTTGCTCCAGACCTTTATTTTTAAATTGGTGTAAATCTTTGTTTCAAATGTGTTTCTTGTTAACAATGTACTTTTGGAGTCTGCTTCTTAATCCATTTTTTCTCTTTCCTGGTTCTTCTCCTACCCTAGCTGACTACTTTACTGAATCCATTCCCACTAACCGTGGATGTTCCACAGGGCTCTGTTCTGGGCCTTCTTATCTTCTCCCTCTGTACTGTTTCATTTGGTCATCTTATCAACTCCCATGAATTCAGTTATCATCTCTATACTGATGCTTCTCAAATCGGTGTGTCTAGCCCAAACCTCTCTTGCTGACTTCCCATCTTCCCAGTCTCTCAGGCTTGCAACCTAGGCATCATCCTTTACTCCTCACTATCTGTCATCCCCCTATATCCAGTCTGTTGCCAAGGACTGTCAATTGCACCTTTGTGACATCTCTTGAAAGTGTTCTCTGATACTACCACCATCCTGGTACAGTCCCTCATCTCCTCACTCCAGGACTATTACAATGTCTGTTGATTGATTGGCCTGCCACAAATCTCTCCCAACTGTATCATAACCCTACTCAGCCACTAAAGTAATTTTCCTAAAGTACAGATTAGACCATGTCATACATCTCCCCCACACTCAATAAATTCCAGTGACTCCCTATCATCTCTAGGATCACATAAAAAACCCTCAGTTTAGTGTTCAAAGTTCTTCATTACCTAGCTGTCTGTCTACCTCCACCCTCCCACCTTTCCAGTCTTCTTATACCTTGTACCCACTCATATACTTTCCATTAAGTGACACTGGCCTCCTTGTTAATACTCAAAGAAGGCATTTCGTGTCCCAACTTTGGGCATTTTACCTTGCTGCTCCCATGCCTGGAACCCTCCCTCCTTGTATCTATCTCATGGCTGCCCTGGCTTCCTTCAAGGCCCAGCTAAAATCTCACTTTCTACCGGAAGCCTTTCCAAATTCCTCTTAATTCTAGTGCCTTCCCGCTGCTGATTATTTCCTGTTAATCCTATATATAGTTGTTTGTACATAGATGTTTGCATTTTTTCTCCCTGTTAGATTGTGGGCTCCTTGAGAGTAAAGACTGTCTTTGGCTGTTCTTTGTATCCTCTCTCCCCCCCCCCCCCAGTCACCTGGTACTTAATAAATGCTAATTGACTATTCTATTCCATTTTATATGTGAGTTCAGCCCATTCACATTCATAGTTATGATCCTTAATTGTCTATTTCTTCTCATCCTATTATACTTTCCCTTCTCTTTGTTTCCCACCCTCTCTTCATAAAGAAGAGGGGGTTGAGAAAGAGTGTACTCAGAACCAGTACTCTAGGCTTGTTGTAACTGCTGCTGCTTCTCTGCCCCTCTTTTCTTTCTGCTGCCTAAGTCAAGTCACAAGTACTTATCATTTCTTCCAATACATGTAAATTCCTCTTTGAGAGCCACTCTTTTTCAGTCAGTTTGTTTTGGATTAATCCTTCTCTTAATCTGCCTTTCCTCTTACTGCCCCATCTCCTTATTCCTTTTCACATTTATTGAGTGAAAGATATTTCAGTACCCAACTCTGTATGTTTTTCACTCTTTTGACCAATTCAGATGAGAGTGAAGTTCCTGTGTCCCTTACACCCCCACCCCTTCCTCCTTTTGTGTCTTCTAGTTGCATACCTCAATCATGTGAGATAAATCTCAACTTTCCTTTCCCTTTCCTCTACCCACTAATGTAGTTCTTTCTCCCTCTCTTTAAATTATTCTTTTAAGATCATTCCAGCATAATAAAGTTACTCCCAAGCTTGTTGACATATTAGACTCTTTCCATGCCCCTAGATGATAATAAGGTCCTGAAGAGACACATGCATCATGTTACCATTTTAGAATATACGCATTTATCCTTTTTTAGTTTCTTATGATTGTTCATTCATCTTTACCTACCTTTTTATGTTTCTTTCAACTCCTATATTTGCATAACCATCTGTATTTCTGTATTCAACTCTGTGTGTTTATGTGTAGTCTATATTCTTCCATCTTTTGATCAGTTCAGATGAGAATGAGATTCAACATTGCCCCCTGCCCATGTCGTAAGACATGGTGAGTGAGACTCATAGTCCATATATATCCATTTTTAGTCTCTGACAAGACCAAGGGATATTTTATAGAAGCATATGTTTGTTCTTGGTAATACCAACTTCAAAGAGATTGAAAATTCTGGAAGGAACCACATACAAGCAGGACAGCTTTGAAAGTAACGTGTTGAATTTATTATATACTTAAAAGCACACTGTACATAAGAATCGCAGTTTTATGTAAAAAAAAAAGATTGAAGAGAAAACATACTTCCCATCTCTATAAAAGATAGTAGACTATGGGAATGGGATAACTAGACATGGTTAATGTAGGGGGGCAGGGGGGGTGGGGAGGATGAAGGGATTGTTAATTGTACTTGTTCTCACCATGTGTTTCTTATGAGAAGGGGAGAGGGCAGTGGTGGATTCTAATTGAAAAGTATATTAATATATTAGTGTATATAAAACAGATGTATATAATATGCTATTGCCCAAACATCTAAGTTCTTTCTTTTGGAATTTATTTTGTATAATACAGAAAGTTTTCTCCAGCTTACAGTTTAACAGCTTTCCAAAGCACAGGGATGCAAATTGGGTTAACCAAGGGGTTGAATTGTAGTTTGTTTCCTCCCTCCCCCATTAGCCTTTTCTGGAATACAATATCTATTCTTACATAGTGGTTCTTTTAATGCTGGCAATAAGTCTGAAAATAGGGGCACTGCAATTATATAGGGAATTCTGGTGCCAGTTGCAAGATGCAGTAATTTCCCCCAAATCAATATCAATGCCCTACAGCACAGGTATGGAGGGAGTTTGAGTGTTCAAGGATAGATTGCCAAGTACAGTGGATATGTTGCCTGATGAGAAATAACGCCATCAAGTGCATTTTAGATTTTACCTAAGGTTAGCAGATTTAGGCAGAATCACATAATGGAATTTTCTGAAAAAAAAAACCAAACTTTTAATTTAAATGACTGCCTGGACATATTTATGCTGCTTACTTTAACTTTTCTTTCTTTTAGTCTCATAAGTATTTGATAGCCTGAATTCTCTCTTGCCTCATTTCTTCTTTCTTCATGTAAGCCTACTATTGTTTTAAGTGGCAGGTTAAATGACAATATTAGCCAGTTTTCCCAGTGTGTGTTTATTTTAATTTCAGTGGGGAATAAAGGCAAAATATTAATGGAAAGGGAAAAGAACAATAGCAATCTGGGACCATTGTAGTAGTGTTGGGAAAAATGACCTTACCTACATAATTCAATATGGAATGAGTTATCAAAGATGTTGAATTGTATTCAGTGTGCTCTGTTTCAAAAAAGAGTTAGAAATGTGTTTTAGAAAGATTTCTATCAAAATAACTTAAATTTGTACTTTTTTGTTTGGTGAGGCAATTGGGTTAAGTGACTTGCCCAGAGTCACACAGCTAGTGAGTGGTATGTGTCTGAGGCCGGATTTGAACTTAAGTCCTCCTGACTTCAGGGCTGTTGCTCTATCCACTGCACCACCTAGCTGCCACTTTAAATTTGTATATTTTAAAAGAATGAACTTCAATTAGTTAGAAGTTCATTAATGTGAAACATCTTACTCCCTGAAGATGCTGGGTAAATGAAATGTCACTGTACAATTACACATGGTGATTTTATTGGAATCAGTGCAGTTGTGACTCAGTAGGCTCATACAATTTAATCAATAACAAAACATTACTTTCATTACTCAAAGTTACATAGCAGTATTGCTTATATGTAGGGAAGATAAAATCATTTATATTTCTGCTCTGAAAATAGGATTTGAAAATTATGTAACAAAGATTGATAAATAGCTTATTGGTCCCTGGTTGTTATCCAAGGATAGACAAGATGAAATCAAACTTCTCTATAAAACCTTCTCTATAGAGATAGAAATACATAGTCAGGAGGATGAAGCAATTGAGTAGAATTTCTATTGATTTGTTAGAGTCTAAATGAAATCAATTCCCATACCTCTTAGAAATCCTACATAAAGGCAATAATACATTATTATCACCATAATAACCATTATTATTATCTAATAGAATTTTTATGAGATATAGGATTTGATTTGATTGATTTGAACTTTAACAAGATACTGATGCTGCCGATGCTGCTGATTGGCAACATGACATGGTGGATACAGAGTTGGCCTTGTTCAGGAAGATCTGGCTTCAGGAAGACCTGGCAGGTTATTTTACCTCTCAGTGGCCCCAGCCAGTATCTCTGAGATCCTAGATAGAATAACACAACACTCAATACCCCAAGAAATCTTCAGAAGAATTGAAGAGGACAGAAACTCAGCCCAAACATGCTCTTCGGAAATGTGCAGTGATTGACCCTAACATAAAGTCCAAAATCAGAGAGGAAGCTGGAAGAATGAGCAAACAAAAACAATCCCACCATAAAAGAGAGAAGAGAATGACTCCAAAGCATCTATAAGTAAAGCCTCAAAGAAAAACAGCATGAGTACAAGTTTAACTAGAATTCCTGGAAGAGATGAAGCAATAGTTTTTCTTAAATTAAAAAATGGCTTTTATAAATGATTGGATCTAGAGGAAAAAGTTGGAAAAGAAATATGAGTTTATGTAAGAAAGAATTGGAAACAGAATCAACTTGGTGTAAGAAGTGCCAAACTTTACCCAAGCAACAAATTCTGTGAAAATTAGAAATGTATCAAATAGAAGGTAGTAACTTCATGAGAAAACAAGAACCAGTATGTCATCCTCTTACATTTCACCCCACCTCAAGTCCTACCACAGACTATATACCTAAACCATTGCATTTGGTTGCAAGCAGACTCAGTAAGAGTATGGGTAGATGAGTACAAATTCACTGCCAGTATTGGAAAAAAAAATTTTAAGTGTGTGCCTTACTGATGTGTTAACTTCATCTTCTAATATGAAGGATACCACAATTTAAAAAAAAAGTTTAAGAGGCAAATTTGGTAATGATGTGGGACTAGTCCTTAATGGCCTTTAAAAATTCTGCATATTTATTTAGGAATTAAAACTCTGGAAAATCTATGACAAGGAAATTTCAGGCCTAATTTACCAGAGTTGAAAAACAAGTTTTTTTATTCAAAGTGTACTTTCATGAAGCTAAGAAAAGCTACACATTTCTGCTATTGTTATTATTGTTTTTAGATTTAAACATCCTTTCTTCTTCTTGCCTTTCCTTATTTTAATCGGACCTTTTCCAGACAGTAGGAGATTTAGTATGTATCTATGGGAAGGAAGCAAAAGCAAGCATACTCTCTTATTTGCCCTAAGGGTGTTTCCCCTCCTCCTTTTTGATTGTACATATGGCCTGTAATGAGGAGAAAGTGATACAGGAAAGGGG